TCAGATAGGGATGGAGACTTGTGGGTACCTCTCCCATCCATGCTGGGAATTTGACTGGGTTTATCTCATGCAGGCAGGTCTTGTACAAGGAACCACAGCTGCTATGAGTTTGTAAATGCAACAACCTGTCACGTCCAGAGACACAATGTGTTTCTGTACAGTCTTCTTTCATCTTTGTGTCTTATCTCTACCCCATTTTCCATGATGCTCTCTCAGTCTTGAAGGGAGGGGATATGATATAGGTGTTGTTTCCACTTTGGGCCTAACACTCTACCATCACTGATTTTATGTACTTTGACCAGTCATGAATCTCTGCATGAAGTACAGTCAATTTTTGCAAAATAAAGCTTCTCTGATAAGGGCTGAAAGCAGAATGAATCTGTGGGTAAAAGATAAATATTTAGAAGGCAGTTTGATAGATGTTTATTCAGCAAAATAGTATAGGCCTTCCCCTATGGTCCTTGACCTCTTCAGCCATGGGTCCTTGGCCAGTTTTGCAGTACCAAGCCTGAGTACTGTCCTATGAAATGGGCCTTAAATCTAGCCAGAAAGTAGTTGGTTATCCACATAACATTCATGCCATTGTTGCAACAAGAGGCATATATTTCAAGGCTAATCATCATTATATGTCACAAGGTTCACAGTGGGCTAAGGCTGGTGATGGCTTTTCTTTACCAGAGTCCTACAGAGTGCCTTTCCTGACTATGAGAGCTAAGCCAGGAGGAAGGAAGCTTACAGGTTGGTACTAGCTTTCTTTCCCCTTCTCCTATGACTCAAATCTATGGTGTCTTAAGCAATAGGGTCTTACTATCATGTTATTGTGAGTAACTAAGAGCAATGATAATAGATTACATTATTATGAGGGATTAGAAGAGGACCCCTGAGGGCCAAGAATTAGAAGGGAGATATTCCACACCCAGCATTAGGGAAAGCATTATCTTTACCCCATATAAGGTTAGCCCATTAAATATATGTGTCAGGTATATTGTATAAAATAGTAAATTTACATATGGCCTTTTCAAACATCTTAAGTATCAGTTATCCTTCCCTACATCCTCTTCTCTCCCCAACCTTCCTGTTATTATGAACTTTTGTTGTTAACTTAAAACAACTTAAAATCTTCTAGGAAGAGTGTTTCAATGAAGGGTTGATGACATTTGAGTTGGTCTGAGGGTATGTCTGCAGGGAACTGTTTTAAGTGGGATCAATGATGTGGTAAGATCCAACCCACAATGGTTCACCATTCCTTAGGCAGGGCGTTCTGAACTGTGTAGAAATGAATAGATATGGCTGAGCCCAAGGAAGCAAGCAAACATACATATTTATTTTTCTCTGCTCTTGACTGGGGATGTGATGTGACTAGTTGTTTGAAGCTCCTGCCATGACTTCTCAACACAATGGGACATAACCTGGAATTGTAAATAGACATTGTGGTGATTTGAATGAAAAATGAGAACTGTCCAGGTACTGAACAATTAGTTACCAGTTGGTGGTGGTGTTGGGAAGGTTTATGAGGTGGAGACTTGATGGAGGAAGGACTCACTGGGGGCAGGCTTTGAGAGTGTAAAGTCTCATGAACTTCCAGTTCACCCTCTCTCCTATGTGCTAGCATTTGAAGATGTGAGCTCTTCCCTGCCTGCTCCTGCCCCTTGCTTGCTGCTGATGTCATGCTTCTCCATCATGATGGACTCTCATCCCTCTGGAACCTTAAGCCAAAATGAACTGTTTCTTCTATAGGTTGCTTTGGTCGTGTTGTTTTGTCACAGCAACTAATAAATGATTATTACAGATCTCTTGGTCCCTTAGTTACCTCTTATCTTAGGTAAATGAAACTAGAACCCCTCCCATCTCCCCCCTACTAAGCCACACTCCATGATTTCCCTTTTCTTCTTCATGCAACCATACTCACCTATCTCCCCTCTCTTAAAATCATTCTTCCCACCCCAGAAGTAATTTTCTAGTTTATTGGCCTTTTCCAGTACTTTAAGTTAAACACAAAAACATTAAAGGTTAGGATACACATATGAAAGAGAACATGCATTATTTTTCTCTCTGGACCTGGTTTACCTTACCCTGTTTAACTTTTTCAAGCTCTCTCAATTTATATGTAATAATTTCATTTTCTTTGTAGAGCAATAAATACCTGTGTGTATTTTATTTCATTATCCATTCTTCATTTGATGGACATTAAAGCTACTTCCCTTTCCTAGATATTGTGAATAGAGTAGCAGTGAACACAGATAGGCAATTGTCTCTATAATGGTATATAGTTCTTCTTAGGTGTGTCCTCAGGAATATTATAGCTGGGTCATATGGTAGACCTATTTTTAGAATTTGAAAAACTTACACACTGATTTCCAGTATGGTCATAAGTACAAAAGCAAAACATGGGAAAAATCATTTCCCTTGTTCACACATCCTTTTGTGATTACCATTTTAAGTCCAGAGGAATTGCACCCAGCCCATAACACAAAGGAATAATAAATTGCACAACATAATTCGTATATTGTAAATTAAGTGATGTGTGTTAAAAGGCCTCTTGGCACACTGATTCATACCACAGAATTTCAACAGTTCTAGATTTGCAAAAATAGAAAACAAATGTGTCCATTTGGTTTCTACTGGTACATCTGAGTCAACTGGACCTGAGAAGAAATGTCGGTCATTGAGTATTATCTGAGTAACTTTGGGAAAGAAATCTGATGTCAGTTAAATAACAGGATTTGGTACAACTAGTCATTAAAAGTCAGGAATTTGCATGACATGTTGTTGCTCATGATGGAATTAAATGGGCTGTAACGTGGAATTAAACATTCACTGAATAGAACAACCTGCATTGTAAAGTGTAGCAGAAGTTTCCCCAGTCCCACCTGGCCCCACAGTCTCATAGCCACTTATAAAATAATCATTCAGAGGTTTACATTAATTATCAACTGTATGACCTATGGCAGGCTTCTTGCTAGCTAGCTCTTTCATCTTAAATTAACCCATTTCTACTTATCTATGTATCCCTGTGTGTTCTGTGGCCTTACCTGTGTCCCATTACACATTGCTCCTTAGACAGCAATTCGGCATTTGTCCCATTATCCTTTCTCCTCTCACTATCTCTCTTGGATTTTCCACCTGGCTCCATTCTGCCCTGCCATAGGCCAATGCAGCTTTATTTACCAATCAATGGGAACAGCATATATTCACAGTATACAGAAAGACATCCCACAGCAATAGAGTAACTGGGAAAGCCTATCGTTTAACTTTAGTTCAAAAGCAGAAACTACTAAGGTTTGTAAAGCAGAAGAAATAATAAGTTTAAATAAGATTAGTGGGTCAGAAGTATTCAGAAATACAGGATAATTTGATGCATAGTAATATTTAAATCATAATAAAAATCTTATCAAGAGTTGAAGTATGGAGGTTAGTGACTTTGGGACTACAATAAAAGTTTGTGGCTCATAAGCAAGTTTGAGTTGAAACTAGAATATAAAGAACTTTCAGTTGGTCTTTGTCTTCTAGTACACTGCTTTAAAAAGGTAAAACAATTATTATTGACTAAACTCATTCATTGGCAATTGAGTGTGTTTGTGCATACATGCACACAAGCACAAAATTCATTATGGATATTCTCACTACACCTTCTTTGATCTCATCACATCTATCTGAACATCACCTTCTCTTACAAATTCCTGTCTCATATTCATGACTTTCTGTTATGGTTTTGTGTCGCAAGTAGTTTAACCAAAGCTGTCTGTGTGACCATGCATTTGTAACTATCCATTGGACCCTGGTAACAAATATCTTTTACTCCACATGCAAACATACATACAAAAACTTAATACACACACAACTACATATATAAAGTGTATACACATATTTTGTCTTATTACATTTAATGCCTTCTGTTATTTTCTACTCAAATCAATCCTATACTGTTCCCCCTAAGGATTCTTCACTGGCTCACTGAAGGAGTCAGTGTCTAGGCAATTTAGTGAAGTTCATGGAAATTTCTAAATGAAGAGAGATGACAAAACTTTAGGAATTGTACCAGTTATACAGGACAGAATAAAGAGAACACTTAGTCTGGTGATTACTGTGGCCATGAAGGCAAACAGATTTATTGCATCAGTGTCTGTCAATTGAGTAAGGCCATTGTGAGATAAACCAAGGAGAGGAAAATAAAGAGTGGTTGAAGGTGATGAGAAAGTGAAGAAATGAATGAGAGACATGTGAAACACCAACTGAGATTTTAAAACCTACATGAGTCTCTACGTGGCAATAGATGGAGAACCGCTCATGACTAAATTCAAAACAGCTATATGAAATAATTGTCTAAAAACTTCTGAAATACTCAAATTCAGTGCACAGATGAAATACAAAACCTCACATAGCCTTAGAAGAAAAGGCAAGTTTGAAGCATATGCTGAGCTTGTACTGGGAGCCAGGCATCAGAGTATGAATTTTCATTTAATTCTGACAACTTGCAAAGTAAGCATTGCATCTGTATCTATAGGAAGGAACGGCAAGGTTCAAAGAAGGTAAGTCATTATTTTTGGGCAAAGAATTTGTGAGATCAAAACCCAACAGCAAGGCTCACACATGTCTGATTGGGAAGCTTGGACTTTATTGATAGTATAAAATTAAAATTACAAAAAATATTACAATGAATAATTTAAAGTAGTGCTTTTATAAAACAAATTGCATTTTAGTACAGATTATCGTTTTTCAAATCAGCTTATGATCTCAAGTAACTCTTTATAATCTACCCTTGAATATTTACGGAAGAAAAATGATAGTTTTTAATTCAACTGATAATTTTTTTAAGAAACTTTTTATTTAATATTATAATTTCTGTTCAGACTCTTGAGAGTCTTGTTCACTAGCATAAGCTCAGGTCTTACAAGCCAGTAGGGGGCAGACAACAATTTCTGTATCTTTGGCGGGGCTCTGGTGTCTCTTCCTCTCTGAGCCGGTTACCTAACTCCAGCCTGGTTGTGCTTCCTTAGCAACTGGTTGCCCTGGGCGACGGGAAGACGCAGTCCCGCAAATTGCATTCCTGGCAAATTCCTAGCACCTGCTAGTGGTCGAAGGCGCCAGTGAGCTATGTCGGAGATCCTGTGCCATTGGCTCAACCGGGATTTGAAGGTGTCCCGGACAGTGAGTGAGTGACCACAGCCTAGGGCAAGCTAGGAGGGGAGCACGGAAGTGGGGGGTGGGGGTACGCTGATGGAAAGTGTCCCCTGAGTGGCTAGCAGCGCCCCACAGTGAGGGCCAGCACTCTTCAGTCCTACCTAGCCACCTGGGGCCTTCTCATTTCATCCTGCCTCTGGCATTACCACTGGCACCCATCACGAGGTCTCAGCCCTCAGAGTTTCTGACCTAGTCTATATTTCTAAGCAGCCAGGGAGGCTCAAGTTCGACAAACTGGCCTGCTCCGATGGGGAGGAAACTTGATTCCTGTCTGTAGTCTGACTCTGGCTTTGCTTCCAGGACATCTTCATTAAGAGGTGCAGGACAAGCCCACGGAGGAGCAGGAAGTGCTTTCGGGAGTTAACACTTTTCTGTTTCCTCCAGTGTAAATTAGATCCAATCACACTCTCTCTTTAACAGCAAATGAGTTGATGTAGAATATGTTAACATTTGCCAGTTTTAGAAACGTTAACAAGTTTCTAAACTTTAGCTGTTTGAAATACCATCCACCCTTTTCTAAGCTAACCTTACTTAATTTTATCAAAGGCATAAAGCTGTACCAGAAGCTCCTAAATTCTTATGGCCCAGAAAGTTACAAACAGGTCAGATTTGGTGAAAACCAACACTTCCAAGCCTAGCACTTCAGTATGCTCTTTCTCCTCTTTGGGGGAGGGATTATTGTCTCTCCAGAGGGAACTCATTTTCAATTGCTATGGATTTTCCTCAAGGCAAGACATTTTCAGGACAAATCATTTCAGTTTGTCTTCCCAGAGGAACCCTTGCCTTCCTGCCAATTGCTACCAATTGCAGTGATGCCAGTTCAGCCCTGGGTCATTCATAGATGCTGCTAGATCAGTAGTGTTTGTGTGGGTGTGAAATATCTATTGTCAGCCCAAGGATCTTCAAAACTTAACATCCCAAGTTGCATTTCTTGAGGCATAAATATTATATGTATTATTTGCTAAGCCACCTCTAACCTGCTATGAGCAATAATAAATTCCTTCTCAGTGTTCTATCTCTTTGTGCGTCAGAGAGTTTCTCTCTCAAATATGATGCTAAACTCAGGACAATATTTAGCACTTATCATTTCTTCCTCCTCTCTCACCATATTGTCTAAAACTGCAGTATCACACCTTACGTTGCACCATTCTGAGAGAGCAGTTGCACATTTCTTAGCTTAAGTTAGTTCACTTTGATAATAAAATTCACTCCATTTCTTCAAGTCCCTAGAACCCTTGTTGAGTGAAACACTTTTGGAAAAAAAGTAAATAAAATTAATCATAAACATGCAAACACTAGATGCTAATAAGTTTGAGAAATTTGATTTTGGAAGGAAGTATGACCTCATTCTGTGAAGATTAAAAGCTTGGAGACATTGTAAATAAAAATTATAACACCACAAGCTATGAGTGGAAAATTCCCAGCATCTTTTTTCCTCAAGTATAAATCTGGAAATGGTTAGCAGAGACACCCCATGCTAATTTCATTTTGAACACTAGCAATACAGCCATTGCTGAATCCCAATTGCTGCAAGATGTCTAAGGAGGCAGTCTCTGATATAGCCAAATTATGCATGTAAAGGGCTATTCAGAGTACAGGGAATATATTCAGTTGTGTTTATAATGGAGATAGGATTCCTGTGTACCTAAGTGAACACATAGACTCTTGTAGAAGTCTTCTGGTTAGGTAAACTGTTCTTTGGGGTGTGATGGAAAATTTTTAATACTTTGTAAAACATATGATGTAATGAAACAGTATAAGTTGAAGAAAATAATTTGGTGATCTCTGGATAACAGCTGCGTAAGGGGATTGGAGACCTGACTGCCTGGCTCTAAATATCTTCTTCACCGTCACTAGCCAGTAGCCTAAAGTTCACTGTACTTAAAAACAGCATTTGTAATGACGCTTCGACGGTTGGTTGTATCTAGGTTACATGGCATCATACATGTAAAACATTGAATAGCACTTGGCATGGGCATAGTGAGTAAAGCTCTAATTTGTCAACTTCACTCATCTTAAAAAAAATCAACATAAGATATTTGAACAAAGATTTGTATTTCTATTTGATTCTGGAACAGAAATCATCTGAATAGCCTTAAACAGAGTAATAGTTACATAAACCATGTTCTTTTATGCCATGGAGTACTGTGCAAGTGTTGAATGAATGGGATACATGTATTGATGTAACAGATTTTTGTGTATTTATTTGAGTAAATATATTGTAGCTTATTGTAACTAGTATAATTATAGTTTTATCAACTATAAAATACATATACAAACATATACACGGGCATTAGGGAAAAGAAACACATGTACTCCGCTGTACTATATTGTTAACATGTCCATAAATCTTCATATTGTGATTTATTTTAGCATAAGTATATGTACAGATATAATCCGAATGTCAATGCTGGTTACCCTGAGGAGGCAGTCATTTATATATTGCCTTCATGCATTTCTATTATTTGGATTGAGCTTGTGTTGCTTTTAGAGTTTAAAAGGAAAATTCAGTATAATATTGACATGAGAAGTCAAACTTCATGAAAAAAATAAGAGAAAAAAACTTCAGTTAAAACATGGATGCTTTTATAATAAAGTATTTTATGGACTCTTTGAAGGGTTTTTCTCAAATAAAAATATAGTTGAAATAAAAAGAAAATAGTTACAGGCTACCGAATATTTATATATTTGTAACATAGAATATGCTAAGACATTTTTAAACTATCTTTTTACTTGATGTTAAAAGCAAGCATAAAGTAATGTTTCCAAGTAAAGAAGATAATGAGAACATTTGGGAATTGGTCAGGGATGTGCAGTTAATAGATTGTAGAGCTAAGATATTGACGTAGATATTTGACTTTTGCTTTTAGATACTATTTTCTATATTAGTGTTTACATTTAGGAATACTTATTAGTGTCTATTGATCAATCCATCTACCTTCAAACATTCATTTAAACTCACTTTTAAGGGGTGTCATCCAATTTGGAGTTTTTTCTTTTAAAGTATTGAATTTTAACCATTTAGCTTCCCTGGCAATTTATAAGGTTTCAAGACATAAGTCAATTCCCAGATGGTTAAGCAGCAAGGATGGGATTATTAGTGTTTGATTAAGAGTGGTTCAGTCTGTTCATTGTTTGTGGAGCAAAGAAACAAGATGAGGATGCCACATAAGTGCCTTAATAAGGCTAAATAATCTCTATTTGTATGAGATACAGCCAAAGTCATTGATTTCTAGATTATCTTGAAAGCTAGGTTCTGAACTACCCTGCTTATTCACAGTAGAGAAAAGACATTCCAAAAATCTAAAATCAAGAATAGTCATCTTCCACTGGGGCAGGTGGTAGTGCATGTTCTTGGGAGTCCCTGTAGAGTTGATTAATCCTAATGGAGGAAGACTCCAATCTAGTCAATGAAACCTAATAGCCTTCAATAAGATATCTTTAATTGAATCATTTTCCTTGGAAATAGTGCTTATTTGTACAACTTAATAGGATCTCTTAAACTATAATACAATGTATTATCCAAAATGGTAAACTGGAATTCAAGAATTAGTTTTTTAATAATGATATGGAAATTTATTAATATGTCCATCAATTTAATTTTTAATATTTTTATTTTATTTTTTCATATGAACTCTTTTGATTATATTCTTTCCCTCCCCCTTCCCCAACTCCTCCCATACCCTTCCCCTGTCTACTTCATGTTATGGCTTATAACACAAACAAAACAAAGTGTGTGCATGCATACTTACACACACACACACACACACACACACACACACACACACACACACACACACCATGGAATCCTTTTAGTGTTGACCAGCTATAGTTGAGCATGAGGCTTGGCCTCAATTGTGATTGATATAACCAGTGTCACTCCATTGAAGAAAACTATGTATCCCTGTCCCACCTCTCAGTTACAAACAGCATCTTGGTTAAGGGTGAAATTTGTGTCCACTTCTCTTTCTCATGCTGGGCTTTTGTCTGGCTTGACCTTGTACAGTTCTTATACATGCTGTCAGAGTTTCAAGTTCATACGTGCCTCAGTGCTGTTGTGTCTGGTAAAAGCTAGTACCCTCAAGTCTTCCATCACCTCTGGCTCTTACAATCTTTCAATCTACTCTTCAGCATTGATCCCTGAGTCTTAAGGGGAGGAATTTGATACAGATATCTCATTTATGGCTGAAGCCTCCAAAGTCTCTCACTCTCCATATTGTCTAGTTGTAGGTCTCTGTGTTAATTGACATCCACGCTAAGAATTGGTTTTCTAATTAAGAATGAGTGGCATAGAATAATATTACTGAAAAATCTGCTAAAAGTCCTCTCTGAAGTATTTATTTATTTACTTATTATTGTGTGTATGTATGTGTGCATGCCTGTGTGTGCACATGTAAACAGAAGAGGTGTGTATCAGGTCTCTTCCTCTGTGTTCTTCACCCCATTTTTTTTAGATATAATTTCTCACTGAACCTGAGTTGTTTTGGACAAACTGATTGGCTAGTGTGTTCCAGGGTACAAGCTGTCTGCACATCAGGTGCAGATACATACCCAAATCCCAAACTTTCCCCATGGGTGCTGGGGTTGTAAAATTATGTTCTCATGGTTTCACAGCAAGTACTTTACCCACTGACCCATCTCCCCAATACCACACTCAGTTCCTCTCCAGAATAAACATGGCCTCTCTTTCATAAGACACTTGTGAATTTTTCTTAAGAGCAAATGAGCACCAGAATGCTGCAACAGAGCATTCTCCATAATTGACATATGCCGTGTTGGCTAGTTTTATATCAACTTTGCACAAGCTAGAGTCAGTGGAGAGAAGGGAGCCTCAACTGAGAAAATGTCTCCATAAGATCTGGCTATAGGCAAGCCTGTTGGGTATTTTCTTTTCTTTATCTTTTAATATATAATTTTTTATTAAAAAAATTTTTCCTTTCACATACCAACCCCTGTTCTCCCTCTCTCCTC